GCCTGGTAGGCCGACTAGGGCAAGTGGTCGGCCGACTACTTGAACTAGTCGGCCAGCTCCCATCAGTTCTGTCTGAGTGAGTTGATTCCAGCTGTGCCAGCTGGGAGGCACAGACTGCATCCTCCATACACGTGTATGGAGGATGTTTGCCCTTGGTTTTAAGCTTCAAGGAGGAGCTTTAGTCCCTCTTGTCTATAAAGGAAGGGCTTCCCTTCCTCAATATATGTTAAAAAAAAAAATTTTTTTTTTTTTTTTTTTTTTAAATTTTCGACCAGTGGGGGCGCGACACCTCACTGGGAGTGCGACCCCCACTGGGGGTATGCAGCAGTGTTGTTTTTAATAAATCACGCCACTAATTTAAGGAAATTCTCCGATACATTTTATGTGTTACAATTTACAACATTGTTGCTTTAATAAATCACAACACTCATTTAAAGAAATCTTTCTGTACATATGCATTCTTATTATGTATTTTTATGATCCATGTTACATATTTTTGTGATAAATATTACATAATTTTTTAATAGATTATGTGTTGACTTTTTTGACTTTTGAATGTTAGTATTGTAATTTTAAACGTGCCAGTAAGGATCAATCAGTCCTTATAGAAGATTAATTGCCAACCAATTATCAGACGATTGTGTTTTAGTTCTTTCAGCCACAATGAAGAGGACTTTTACTGGTGGCTTGTTTAGGAGAATTTAGTAAATAACAATTAAGTAAAAAATAATTACAGAATTTCATTAAGTAAAATAAAAAACTTACAATGATTTGACCCAGTTTCGTAGAGGTTTACAGCAACAAGCTATTTAAAACTACTCCTCTGAATGAAGTGCAGTACAAGAATTTGAAATACAGAAATGTAAAGAACTAGAAATATAAAACTAGAAAGAAAAATATGAAGTAAATAACTGGTTTTTGGATCTGAGTCTGGGTTCTCCTTTCTGGGGCCTTATCTGCTATTTATACTTCTCAATGATAACCGTCGAAGTGGACTCCTAACCGTCGAAATGTCCCTCCATGATCGCTGATCATGCTTTCTTACAGTCAGCCCTATTACGCCATGTTTGCAATTAGACTTCCCTTCTGATTTTGAATTTGAACCTTGTAAGTAACCGTTAGGCCACATCACCTTATATCCCTTGATTATTCCAGTGCTACGCAGACCCATTATTACCAGTATGGGTTGACACGTGTCTAACTATAGTTGGCAATTTATATTACCTCCGCAAATTGCCCTTTTCATGCCACGTGACGAATTGTGATTGGCTTATACAAATTATATAGCCAACATTACCCCCCGCACTAATATACCTAATACTT